GGGTGAATATCACCTTGGATTTCATGTTCGATTCCTCATAGATCACTTTCCCCTATCCCCATGGTATGGTAGGAATATTTGAAAAAAATTATCCTTGTTAAAAAAACAAAAAAGTTTAGGGGTTGAATTCTTTATCATAATTAAAATGCTATACTATAGGGCTTGAATTCTCCATAACTTAATATGTATGCTTCCTTTATGTAATGCTATCTCTTTTATTTACCACCAAAAAAAAAAAAAAAGATTTTTCAAAGTAATTAAGATCAATTTGTTGGGTTGGTTCAAATTTTAAAGAGAAGCTTTTCTTCTTCTTCTTCTTCTTTTTTCAGATGAGGCAATGCATAACCCCAAAAATTTTGAAAACTATTAAAACATAATATTTTTTTTTTTCATTAATTTGCCTTCCAAAAATATCCTTTTCAATCAATTGGTACCCTAGACAAATTTTGCCCCTAATTATAATTAGTGAAGTTTCATCTTAATTGTAAACGTTTGAATCCTTGATTTTGACTTTAAATCAAGATTTTTTATACAAAAAAAAAATTGAATAAAAAATCTCAATATTCATCTTAATTATGAAATATGAACAAAGCAAGTAATCCACATCTATAAATTAAATGGAGGTTTTTGTAGTGGTTGATGTGGCGTATAAACGAGGAGAGATTGGTGACCAAATTCATTTCACTGGAAGAAAATGGACCCACAATTGCAAGTTGGTGGAGAAAAGGCGACTTTTGCAATTAAGAGGGAGCGACGCAAGCAGCAACTCCTTGTAATTGCAATACAACCGCAACTTCGTTTTCCTTCTTCAACAAAAGTTAGTTTTTGAATGCTGCTTTATTTTATTTGCGTCAGACAGATTTGAAAGTCAATATTTCAAATTCAAACTCACATGCTCTCATAACCTTTTGAATTCAAGTCTTCAGATTTCAGAGTCATTAATTGATGCATTCATGATTTTTAGTTAAACAAGTTGAATTGCTGTAGGGGGGCGGCAGACCAAATAAAAAAGTTGAATTGGTGCAATCCATGATCTGTTTGATGAGAGTGTGGTTATTGTTATATATAAAATTATTAAAATTATATATATTTAATATATTTTTTAAAAGTGTATTTATTATATCATTTTATTATTAATTATATATTAATTTATATATACTTAGTCTTTCGGTTAATTGACAATTTGTCAACTTGAGATGCATTTCTCCTTCTCATGAGCGGATTTTAAGTCTACTCCTTGACAAACTTGTTCAAAAATATATATATATTAATTTATATAAAAAATAAAAAAAAATTAACATTAATTTTAATATTTATAATATATAAATATTTTTTATTAAATAATTGATAAAATTAATATTAACTTTTAATTTTATT